CAGAAAGAGAACATTAAAAAGGAAATTAGGAAAACAATACTATTCATGATAACCACTCAAAAGGTTAAATCCTTAGGAATAAACCTAACCAGAAAAGTTAAAGACTTGTACAATTAAAATTACAAATACTACCACAAGAAACTAAAAAAATGCCCACATAATGGAAACATGTTCCATGTTCCATGATCATGGATAGGAAGACTTAATATTGTGAAAATGTCAATAGTACCCAAACTACAAATATAATACAATTCTGATCCAGATCCTAATGTCATCCTTCAAAGAAATGGAAAAACTTATCACCAATTTTATATGGAAAGTAAAGAACACAGGTTAAGTAAAGCATTACCTAACAAGAACAATATAGGAGGCCTCTTACCTGCCAACTTCAAAACCTACTAGACAGTTATGGAAGTCAAAGTAGCCTTGTACTGGTACAATGATGAATATGTAGATCAATGGAATATAATATGCAACTCAGAAATAAATCCATGGACCTACAAACAACTAAGTTTTACAAAGGCCCCCAAAGCAAAACATACACAGGGGATGCGTCTCTTGAACAAACCACTTACTGTCATCGAGCTGATTCAGACTTATAATGACCCTGGAGGACAGGATAGAAGTGACCCTCTGGGTCTCTGAGACTAGAAATCTTTATGGGACTAGAAAGCCTCATATTTCTCCTGCGTTCAACAAATACTGCTTGGAAATTTTAATTTTAATTTTTAGAAGCATGAAACAGGACCTATACTTCATTCTCCACGTAAAAATGAACCCAAGATCAATTAAAAACCTAAGTGTAAAGACTAGAACTATAAAAATCAACAAGAAAAATTTAGGGACAAACTTAAGGGACCTAATATATGGCATAAACACACTATCAAAGATAATGAAAACCACCCACAAAACAGAAGACAAAATAGAGGACCGAGGCTTCCTTAAAAATACATTTATGTGTATCTAAAGGCTTCCTCAAAAAAGTAGAAAGAGAACACACAGAGGGGGGGGGGGGAATTGACAATGATATAGCAGATAAAGGATTAATCTCCCAAATCTATAGTAAACTATGAAAGCTCAACAAGCAAAAGATGAATAATCCAATTTAAAATGGGCAGAAGACATGAACAGAAAATTCAGCAAAGATAAAATCCAGGTGGCCAACAAGCTTATAAAGAAATGCTTTCGATCACTAGTCATTGATGCGATGCAAATCAAAACCATGATGAAATAACACCTCAAACTGGTACTTATAACAAAGTTAATACACACACACACACACAAATAACATGGTGGAGGGAATGTTGAGGGATTGGAACCCTCATACACAGCTGGTTAGATGGCATAACTGGACAACCACTGTGGAAAGTATGGTGGCACTTCCTCAAATAAATGGAAATAGAAATACTATTGATCCAGAAATCTTTCTACTTGGTATATACCCTAAACAAATGAGGAGCAAATTAGGAACAGATACTTGCACACCCATGTTTATTGCAGCACTATTCATAATAGCAAGAAGTTGGAAGCAACTTGGCTGGAGAAATGAATAAATGAACTTTGCATTGGAATACTACACCTTGCTAAAGAATCATGATAAATCTGTGAAACACCTCACGACATGGATGAATTTGGAAGACATTATGCTAAGTAAAGGTAGTCAATCACAAAAAGGCAAATACTGTGTGAGACCACTATTAAAAGATAAAAAATATCAAGAAAAAATATTTTCATATAAAGAGAAATCGACCTTGATGGCTAATGGAAATGGGGGTTGATGGAGGAGGCAAAAGGAGTAGCGGAAAAGCCAAAAATGAAAGGTGAATTTTTTTTTAAACTCTAACTAGGCACATAGTATGCCCTAAAAAACAAAACAAAACAAAACAAAAACCACCTCTCAATACTCCTTTTTAAGAAGCCATATTTACTACATCAATACAGACTTGAGGAACCCATGAGACTGTTGTCCTGAAATAGCCTTTGAACTTGGACCAGAAGTCACTCCCAATGGTGGTCTTCCATCTAAATTATAGATTGAGTTATGAAATGAACAATATCACTCCCGAGTAGTGTGCTCCCTGAAATAATCAACTAAATGGGACCAGTTAACATTGACCCTAAAAACAGAAGCAAGAAGGTGCAAAGAGACAGAGAAACTAGATAAATGGAAGCAGAATGGAAATAATGAGAATGTTAACACATTTGCTGACAGATTGTGAAAAATGTAACCAATGCCATGGAACAATTTGTACAAAAATCATTATATGGGAACCTAATTTCCTGTGTAAACTTATACCTGAAACATAATCAAATATTTTTTAAAAGAAATCACAAGCTGCTTTATCCCTTCGGGTGGAGTGGTTTCTGGGAAGATGTGCCTAAGGCTCTAGGGTGAATTAATAAGGTTTGGGGTAGAGAATTGAAAAGATGTCACTCAGCATTCTCCTGCCCTGCTGCCACCCTACTCCCACACCTAACCCATCTCTTCCTGGCCCCCAAGGCCACGCCCAGTTCTTCTAGGGCTTCTCAGGCTCTTCAACTGGCTCAGGGAAGAGTTCGGGCCCAGGCATCATGCTAGGGAGAGAATTGGGAGTGAGGATAGTGGCCATCGTGAGGGGTGGGGGGTCCAAACGTCACTCACAGGTTCCTCTGCACTGCTGGGAGGCTTTGCCACTGTTTGATTTGGGGCTTTTTCCAGTAGAGGCATCGTGGGAACTCCTAGACTGGGGAAACAGAAATGTAGACTTCAAAACAGAGAAAGGGTGTCATCAACATAAGGGCCACATAGACTTGCCATGGCCCCTAGAATGACAATCTATAGCCCCTCATTGCACCCCAACCTAGGAAGAGGTTAGAGAAAAACAGTAGTATACTTGTTGCAGACCAGCTCCAATTTCCTGACTTCTGGACTAGTCCCCTGGCCACAGTGCCCTCTCTGAACCCCTAAACAGAAGATAATGGGTCTTGAGGTGAGCCTCCAGTTAGGATTTGGTCCCCTGAGACTGCTATCACTCAGGTCCAGTCCATCCATCCCAGATACTACCCCAGGGCAGTGTTGGAGGGAGTAGGTCTAGGCCTGCCCAGGCTGATCCCAAGTAGCCACACCTCCACCTCTCTGAAGGGTCAATGGCAGAACATTTCTGTTCCTGCCTAGGGGTTCCAAAACATATGTGCTTTGCTGATTACAATCTCTCTTTTCCCACTGGACTGTGAACTCCATGAGGACTAGATCATACCTGGGGGCCTATCAAGGTGCCCTGCTTGTACAAAGATCAATGCTTATAAATGAAGTGATGAAGGCATGCATGTGTGTGAATTCATGAATAAGTAAATGAATGCATTCAAGGTACTCTGCAGCCCTGAAGTCCAGGAGGCCCTCTCTAGGTTGATTGGGAGCCTGGCTTGTGACCAGAGCAGAGAGGACCCTGGGACTTGCAGGAGGAGCTGGGAACTTGAGGAGCTTTTGGTCTGCAGGATCTCAGTGTCAGTGGCGGAAATGTGTGAATGCTGATATATGTAGTGCAGTGAAGGTGGGCAGCTGGGGTTCCTAGAAACCACTGGGCCAACCTGGTGTTTTCAAATTACTTTAGAAGTTCCAGTAGCAGTAAGCTAAAAAAAAAAAAAAAAAGTAAGCTAGGTCTAGAGGAGTAAAGGCAGATTTTTAAGGCTAATGAGGTTCCAACCTCTGTCTTCTGAGATTCCCCTAAGCTTAAACATCCAGAGGCACACACGAAGGACTTCCACCACCAACCCTCCTATTCCTATTCTTCTCCCAAAGAGCCTAAAGCCGATACTTGCCCCTTTTGAGTTGTGGCTCTGGACGAGGAACACATGTAGAGTGTTCACAGACACCTAGCAGGAGTGCTCTGAACTGAGGCACCTCAGGTGGGTGTGCTCAATTTAGGACCTACTCAGACCTACAAAGTGAAATCAGCGGGTCTAGAGGAGGGCCTGTCTGAGAGGATAGAGTCAGGTGGGAGGCCTAGGCACCCCTGCAGCCAACACCTTCTCTTGTTTTGGCTCTGGTGCCAGAGACAATGATGCAAAGTACTAGTCCTGGAGAGGAGTCTTAGACAGGAGCAGAGGAGCTGAATGATTTTAGTGATGTATTCAGAACCCTAGCAGGGGAGCGAGGAGGCCAAGGGGATGGATGGCACAGTTCTGCCAGTCAACTCTCCCGCCACCCTGGCTCTGGAGCCCCAGCGCCCAGACAAGGTCTGTGTGGATATGACTTGTGTTTTGTTTGTCTGTCTGTCTAGTGCCCTTCAGTCCATGCTCCCGCTGGCCTAGCTTTCAAAAACTGCCAGGTGTTCCAGTTCCGGCCAGGAAATCCAGCCCTGAATTTTAGATTGTCCCAGGACCCCAAGGACCCTGTCCGACCTCTCTCGGAATTGGCGCCACCTACAGCCACCACCCACTCTTTGCTCTAGCTTGGGCATTTTAGGAAATCAGGGCATGAGTGGATAAGGTGGGTGGAAGACCGGTGGAGATCCCCTAAGGGCAGAAAGAGCACCCTTGGCAGTTAACAGATAGGGTTAACAGATAGGGTCCAGATGGAGTGAGATCGTGAATCACCGGGTCCCGATGGTTAATCCCCAAGTCCTAGCTCCTAACTTCTCATTTTCCAGCACCACCACTGCAGGGACACCACCCTGGGCCAGGAAACACGAAGTGACCCAATGCGGCTTCCTCGCCATCCCCGACGGCCGCGGTCGTCCAAGACTCAAAGTCGAAGGACCTGGGGTCTCTCAGCTCTAATGCGGTCCTTGACTGAGACTTCTTCCCAGCCTGCTACCCTGGGAGCATCACTCCAGCACCGCGCTTGGCGGCCCGCCCCGCCTCACCTGCTCTCCTCCTTGGCTGCGGCGACAGTCGCGGAGCTGCACGAAGCTGGATGGGGACAGGCGAGAGTGGGGCGGGGGTGTGAGCGTCAGCAGCGCGGCGGAAGGGGCAGGCGCCTCTGTCTAGGTCCCTGCGGCCACCCGACTGGCTACGAACTTGCTGGCCGCGCCTCTCTGCCCCTCCCTACTCTCTTCTTTTCTCTTCCTCCTCCCTCCCCTCCCTCCCCTTTCTCTTCCTCTGGGTCCTCTGTTCCCCCTCCCGCAGCCTCTCAAGGTTCGAGGCAGCAACCTTTCAGACAAGCCTGGACGGCGCCTGTACTAATTCCACCTCTGGTGGGCTGAACCCCGGATGGGAAAGGGGGCTCAGAGCATTGGCCTGCTGGTACCTATTGTGTCCAGTCTGCTTTCCCCCTTCCCCCACATTCACATTATAACGCCGTTATCCCTACCTTGAACTCTGTGCCTCCCCAACCCCAGCTGGGATCAAATCTGGCTACACTCCCTTTCAGAATAATAATAATAATAATAATAAATGCTAGTTAGAGCCCCCTCCTATATTTCCACCTTACCACTGCTCACACTGTGGGTGGGGTGGGGTGGGAGGCAGTACAGACTGGTAAATCCTGACTGCAGAACTGGGGATGCTTAGGGACACCCAACTAGAGATGGATTCTCCCTCCAGACAATAGTCACTTCCCCCTGCAGAACTGAGGATGCTTAGGGACACCCAACCAGAGATGGATTGTCGCTCCAGACAATGGTCACTCCCCCCACCCCCCCAAAAAAAGGGTCCCACATATGGTCCCACAAGCAGAACAGGGATAGACAAGCACACCAGCAATACAGAACCTTCCCTCCATCCCCAAACTCAAACATACAGGTGAACCCAACCCCATACCTTTCTGTTGAATCACAGCTCCCTGGGGCCTTAAGAGCAGTGGGTTCAGCGTTGGGCTGCTCACCTTCAGCCATTCCAGAGAGAAAGATGAAGCTTTCTGCTCTCCAATAGATTTAGGTTCAGAAATCTTATGTGGGTGGTTAGGCTTCTTGGGCCTCCAGCTCTGGGACTGGGAGTGGCCTTCATTCACTAAAAGCCTTCATTCAGAGATTTAGTTGACTAAACTGGGCACAGGCTCCCACACTCTCATGCTTTTGGTTTTTTTCTACTCAAATCTACACCTGTCGGTTCACAGAGTAGACTCCTGCAAAGAGCCCAGAGCCCAGACCCACACACAACTAGTTCTCAAAAGAGCACACACATCCACACAAGCGCTCATCCCTGAAGACAGGGCCAGTTTTTCTTCTGTCCAGACAGCGCTCTCCTACTCCCTTCTGGAAGCTTGGACCTGGAGCTTGAACTCAGCTCAAAGTGAAGGCCAGGGAGTTCTGCTGCTGGTGCAAGGCGTGTCCCCTGGGGGCTGGGTCAAGCACACAGGTTCCCCTGCTGTGAGCCCCACTTGTGCTGGGCTCTAGGCAGGGGTGGACTGGACTATAAAGGGGAGGCTATGGGAGGGGGAGGGGGCTAGGAAGGTCAGTGAGTGAATGCCCTTGAAGTTGCTTCCCTCTTACTCATTCCCTTTTCCAGGCAGCAAAAGATCCCTTCGCGCTTGTGCCTGAATTGGCCCTTGGAAACCCGCATCACCCTCCCCTCTGCACGGGACCCTTTGCCGGGCCGCCCACTAGCACCACGACAAAGAGCATTCTCCGACGACAGACATGGTTTATTGACTTGGGCTGAAGGCACCGCGGTGCAGCGGGCCTGGTTGGCACTTGGCAGAGTGGGTGAAAAGACAGACGCAGAGTGGGTGAAAGGACAGACGCACGCACGCAAAGCAAAGACGCACGCAGAGGATCTCCATCATGGTGACCGGTGAGCCCCCGTCACCCCTGCTAGGTGTACATTCGATTCACAGGCTTTGATGCTCCACACCCTGTTAGACAAGTGGGATGGGGCACCGAGAGGGAGCTGAGGTAGGGGTAACCAAGACAGGAGGTCGGTGGGGAGCTGGGGTACTGGTTGAAAAGGGCCAGCCCAAAGCCAGACTTCCCCAGTGGGTACGCAGGGCAGCCACCAACCCGGACAGGGAGCGGGGGGGAGGGGGGGCGGCCCAGAGGAAGAAGAACCAGGCTACTAGCTGCGGGTGTAGTAGTCATTGTAGTCGTCTTCACACTCATCAAAGACACAAGGTGGGATGCCTGGCGCGCCTTCTGGACCCTGTCCCGGGCACTCACTCAAGCGCATGGCGTCGTACAGCCCCTGAGGGGGCTCGTCGAGTAGCACATCGCGCTCAGAGCGGGAGCGTGTTAGGAGACCCACTTTTCGAAGCAGCAGCAACACTGGCGCGTAGAGTAAGTTGGCTAGGCCCATGCCAAGGCTGAGCTGCGCAAAGCCCAGCGAGTGCACAATGTGCCCAGCCACGATGGGCCCCAGCGCGTATGCCACGGAATAGGAGATGTCGGCGATGGCGTAAACGCTGCCGTAGACGGAGACGTGGCGCACGTCCACGAGGAAGGCGAGCGTGGGTAGCAAAGCCGTGTCTACCAGGGCGATGCCAAAGCAGAGGCCGCAGAGCGAGACTACTAGCGGCCCGAAGGAGCGGCAGGCGGGCACGATGCAGGAGCTGGCACCGATCACCACCAGCCCGAGTGCGCCATACAGCCACTGCAGGTGTGGATAGCGCGCCGCCAGGCGCACAGTGAGGTAAACGCCGAGCACATGAGGCAAGAAGGCGGGCAGCCAGACCATGCCCATCTCCCACTCGGACGCGGCCATCGTGTGCTTCATCCATGTGGAGATAGTGGGCTCCAGGAACGCCAGCGGGATGTTGCAGGTGGTGAGCGCGCCAGCCACCACGGCGATGTAGGGGTCCAGCATGAGGCGGTGGATGGGCGTCCCCACTGGCAGGTTGGCCCGCGCCCGAGCTCCGGCCGAGAAGGGCTTGGCGACGAGCAGCAGCAGCAGCGCGTCGAGCAAGGACACGGCCGCGAGCACCAGGAAGGGCACCTGTTTGCCCGCGAACTCGTAGAGGATGCCTCCGAAGGGCGGCGCCACCAGGCTGCCGAAGCTGATGAAGGCCAGGGCCACGCCCAGCGCGCGGCTGCGCTCGGGCTCCTCGGGGTACTTGTCAGCGATCATGGCGATGCCAGACGTGTCCGCGAAGGCCGAGCCCAGGCCCTGCAGGCTGCGGGCGGCGAACAGGGTGGCGTAGTCCTCGGCGAAGGCAAACAGCACCGTGGAGGCGAACATGACAGCCAGGCCGATGATCAGCGGCACGTCGTAACTCATGCGGTCGATGAAGGGGCCGCTCAGCGGGTTCACTAGCAGTTGAAGAATGGCCTTGGAGGCAAAGAGCACCCCTATCTTCACGTCTTCGCTCTCCGTCGGGTAGCGGGGCCGCAGGGCCGACCTGGAGGGCCCGGCAGCCGTCGGGGGCGCCGAGCCGTTGGCCGCGGCGGCGCTGCCATTGGCTGGAGGGGGGGTGGGCGGGATGGGCACCCACACCTCCGGGCTCACCGTGGGGCTCTCGCTGCCGCCGCGCATGTGGGCGATGTAGTCGGGCACAATGGGCACGATGACCATGTACAGCATGTTGTCCAGGAACAGCGCCACGCACACGATGACCAGAACCAGGCGTCGCTGCCGCCTGGGCTCCTGCAGCGCCGCGCCGACCTTCTCGGACAACTTGGCCGCTGCCGCCCTGGCCTGGCCCGCTGGCTCCTGGGGCTCCATGGCCCCCTGCCCCCACCGCTGCCCTTCAGACGTCTCCGCTGGGCCCCGGGAGGGCG